GAAATCAAATAAGTGGCCTTGCCCTGCCAAAATGCAGCCAGGAAGGTCGGGGCAGGTAGTTTTTCTGCCTTCTGGAAAACAGGGTGAGGGACTCTGGCTGAAATTCAAGTTAACTTTCTTTTGGAAAGGATCTCCTCCTGGTAAGGGGAGTGATAGCTTAGAGGATCTCTCCTCCATCCTCCTTCTCTCTCATGGCATGCATTAAATCCTTTTGTTTCCAGGGCTCACAGCATGAAAGAGTCATTTGTTTCCTGAGAAAGGACGTATAGTATCTTTTGTAAGTAATGTTCATGCTAAAGGGGCACCGAACATAATCCTGTCCTGTCTGGCTGTTATTATCGTCAGTCTGTGGTTACAGGGGTTTTTCTCCTCCTTTGACCAGATCCTTTTCATTTCTTCTGTTGAGGACAGTCGTCAGGCAATACTGGCTACCAGCCCAGGCAAACAGGGGCTCGTTACCACTTATTACCCCTGGGTCCACTGCTGAAATTTGGCACGGGTGGCCAGTTAGGGAGGAAGAGATAAAAAAAATAGTGCTCTGGTGTTTGAAAGAGATACAGCACGTGTGGAAGGAAAACAGTGACTCCTGGGCTTGCGGTGCTCTCGCTCGCTGCTTGTTCTGCGTTTGTTTCTGCTTTGGAATTAAGTATTTACTACGCTTCTGAAAAATGAGAGCAATGAGTTTGCAATAGCCAGGTATTCTGCAGGTGGTGAACCTGCAAGACACCAAAAAAATGGAATTTGTTTTTCCCTGATCTAAATAAAATAAATTTTTCCTAATGCTGCAGTGAGACAGAGTCCCTGGACAAACAACTAATATTAAGCCCAGAGCAATAAAACTGCAGAAAGGTGTGCAGCCCTGTGACTGCAGCAGCATCTGGCTCCTTGAGCAAAAGCAGTGAGAAAACAGTTTAATTTAATGCAATTGAAGAGAGAAGGTAAATTTAACTGATGGATGGGTGCCCAAAAATCTGGGGGACAGGTGTGGGGATGGATAAGGGGTGCCGATCCTCCATGGAAGGAGGATCTCACCCAGCCATAGCCACAACTGCTCTCCACTGGCATGTTGTGGGTCTGGCCCACAGCGGTGCACGTTGTCTTGAAGAGTGTCAAGTTTGCAACCTGCCTGGATTTCCTCTGCTTGTGGCCATCTCCATGGCTGCTGTTCACCACAGCCATTGCATTTCTGCCAGCACCAATAAATCTTCAAAATATTCTGCTTTGAGATAAGCCAGCTGTGGAAGAAGAAAGGGGGGAAGGGAAAATTTGGTAGCAGCCCAGCTGAGCTACCAAACTTCAGATCAAGTTTTGGGCTTCCCAGTGGTCCCATCCAGCCCGATATAGCAGGAGCGGGTTTGTAGGAGGGAATGGTGTGGTGAAGCATTTTCTGGCTCATATATCGTTTGTGATGCCACTTGCCAAAGGGATGCAGGTCATTACTCACCAAAGGAGAGTGATTTCTACCTCTGTGGCACTTAGCATCACCTAACCTCTCCCAAGCCCATGTAGTAGGATGGATGGTGTCCTACCTGCCCACGTGGTCAGCACCCATTGAATCCATCCATCCATCCATCCATCCACCTCCTGCATGGTGGCTCAGTACTTCTAAGCAGAAGTGCACTGGCTCCTCAAGTTGTTTTGAGCCCACTTAAATCACTGAGCCTAGCTTAATGATGAAGAATAAATTGATTTTTTAACATCTCTTGACCTTAGCAGGAGAGGAGCACTAGGAGTGGATGCAGAGATATGGAAAGATAAACTGCTGGTAAGCTTTGTGAGCATCAACTTGAGTCTTAGTTCTTCTCCCAGTTGCCTTTTGGGGCTGTATCACCCTGTGTCCCTTGAAAGACACCCCGCTACCACCCTGCCAGGGCAAGCCTGGAAGATACCATCAGATTTCTCCATCAGCAGAATGACCCCCTGCTTTGGTCTTTTTCCCCCAATTTTTGCTAAAAGTGGTAAAAAAGTGTGTGCAGCTCCCCAAGGTGGGATGGGGAAATGCAGGGACGCTGGTTTCTTGTTTCACGGGATCACGGCTGGCCACCCAGGCTGGCCCAGAGGCAAAGCATGGACCTGCCCCTTTCCCTTCTGGACTGAGTTGAATTGAATTGTCTTTTCCACCTCTCCTTCGGTGCATGTTTGCTTCCTGCCTCTCGGGGATGGGGCCGGGGCATGAGAAGGAAGTGAGAGCAGTGGGTGATTTCCTCCACCTTCCTTCCGACACTTTCTTTATTTATGTCTCTTTTGTACTGTTTCTACCTTTAGGGGATTTATTTTTTTACCTCTCTTGTTCTCAAAACCCCTGTCAAACTTTTACAGCCCTAGTTATGGCATAGACCCTTTCTGTGGCTAACTGGATGCCTGGTGTCCAGCTTGGTGCAACCATCACTGAGGATTCAAGCCGGGCGAGTTGATAATACAGCTAAAAGGAGGTGGCTAGATGAAAACTCCCTTGTATCATTTGCACCTGGGTTTCCTCCGCTAGGTCCCCGTGCCTGTGTTTTGCTTCCTTACCTCTTCTTCTGGTGAAGACAGTGGTCAGTCTATAGGAAATATGACTTTCTCACAAACCCAGGGTTTCCTAAAATAATTCATGCTGCTAATTTCAGTTAAACTCACACCTTAATGGTGTTTTCAGAAATGGCAACTTGTGGAGAAACAGGAATAGGAACCATGTTTTGGGAGGGGGTCTGCACGTCTTTTCTCCCAGCTCTGCACTTCCCTGTTGAGATGCCTATGCAGAGCCCAGCCGTAGCCCCCCTGCCTCCTCCAAACCCGCCCTGTCCCCAGGCAGCTCCTGTGGGACCCCAAACCTGTTGCAGGATCCCAAACCTCACTCACCAGGTCCTATCTCAAGCATACCTCCACGCCTCTGGGTCCTGACGTGGTGGGGTTAGATTTCCCCAGCAGTATGAATCTCAGAAACTCGATCTTTGAAGCACAACCAGTGCTAATAAACAAGATCTGTAAAAGCAAATACTTTGCCAGTACGCCAGCGTGGAAGAACAAAGCAGATCTCTGGAGAACAGCAGTTGGATATGGCTAAAAATCAAACCTTGGAAGTGTGATTCCTGTTTTGGAGGGTTGGAAATAATATACAAGTGCCACACAGGGCAAAAAAAATAGCCCTCTTCTGCACAGTTATCAAATGGAAGAAACTCACCCCCCCCAAAATCAGGTTGTTGTCTTGACTCCAGACAGATCCACGGATGAAATGGCTCAGCGCAGCCCGCCGTTCCGGAAAGGTGAAAAATTGCTCAAACCTTTCCTGGGGTGAATTTGAGCAAGTGCCCAGGGCTGGTGGTTACCATGTGCGATGGGGGGAAATTATCTCTGTGGCAATTGATGGAACTCCTGCAGTGATTACAAACAGAAAAAGTTTTTATATCCAGTCTAGTAGTGAATATGCCACGTGTTACCATTGCGGGATGTTGCAATTTGTTGTCTGGCAAGCTGTCCTTCAGCTGTATCCCGTACTGAGAAACAGTTTCATAATTTGAAAATGTATTCTTCAGAAACCAAGTGCAGATCTCCGTATGTATGATAATGTGAGATAATTGAGCAATGGACAACCTTCTTTCCTTTGAGACTGAGCTTTTTTCCCACTTAGGTAATGTCAACTCTTAGTGAAATTCTTCATGGATTTCCTCAAAAACAAATAAGCCGTGATTAAAGTAGCATTTCTACGTAATGTACAAATACAGGGTAAAGACCATGGAAAAACACATGGGAATTTCACGGTTCAGGTGGTGGAGTTAGGGATTTGCATTGTACGTGTAGATGGAGCCCTTCATTTTCCTGGCTTGCTTCTCCTTTTCCTAAATGCATCCTTTGATTTTTATTTTTTTAAGATTTTCATTTGAAAGTGAACACTACTTTAAACATTTTAATATGATTTTCTCAGGCTTTTCGGAATAGTAAAATAATCAGCTAAAGAAGTGTGTGACTGTCAATTGGTGATAATATTTGCAATAGACAGCTTTTTAATTTTAATTTCTTAAATTTAAAATTAAAATAATGCAGCTCCAAGAAAATGTTTTTTGTATTTACTTGCAAACTCTGTCCAGTGGTGACCCATTCTTTCAAAGAAAGTAGAATAAATATTGTTTCCACACTTCACCCAACTGGAAATTTCAGTCTGTACAAAGTTTCATAGAATCACAGCATGGTTTGGGTTGGAAGGGATCTCACAGCCCATCTAGTTCCAACCCCCTGCCATGGGCAGGGACACCCTCCACTAGCCCAGGTTGCCCAAAGCCCCATCCAACCTGGCCTTGAACACTGCCAGGGAGCCAGGGGCAGCCACAGCTTCTCTGGGCAACCTGTGCCAGGGCCTCACCACCCTCAATGGTTTGACTCTGATTTTAACTGAGAGTGCCTATTTTATGACGTTTTTATAGTAATCATCTGAGTTTGGGAAGGAAAACAAAACATAAGTTGAAACGTGAACAATTAAAGAAAAAAAGCTTAAGCTTGCAAATGAATATAACTTTCAGAATGGTCAGAAATGTCAGTTTATTTATCTGAGGCTCCTCACCACTTTAGGGATGTGAGAGACCCTCATAAGGCGGTTGGACAAACAGCTCTTGGCCGGTCCCTTGGCTGCCCCTTACAAGGGCTGGATGTACTTTATTTTGGGAATGATTTGCAGCAATTTGCATGGGAGCTGGTGCACCTCCCATCTGAGGGAGACCTGCCTTCTGGGAACCAGCAGGTCTTGCCCTCCTGCCATCTTGAACTCCCGTGAGTTTGACTATGTTTGTCATGGAAGTTGCTCAGGCTTCCTCCTCCTCCTCCTCTTCCTCCGCTCTGCTTTCTGCTGGACACAGTGATACCAGAACGTGGCATTTGGTGTGAGTTCAGAGAGCATGAGACAAGACCTGAGTGAATGACTCATGGTTTCTGTTCAGCATTTATTTCTACAAATACCTGTTCTGGGTGGAAACCAAGGGTAGTTTCCTTAGTTTAAAGTTTATCTTGGCATTTTTACTTTTCCATAGGTGTCAGCTCTCAGGATGTTACAAAGACTACTACTGCAATCCCAGGAGAAAAAGGACAGATCATCACGACTACAAACATCAGCAAGATGCAAGTGATCAGCACTACAAGCAGTACAAGAAACCCACCATTCACCTCTACGGTGTCACCTACCACAGCTCAAAAGACCACCCCTACACACAAGCTGGGAAGTCCACCAGTCTCCTCTGTTCAAGAGACCACCTCTACAAGCAACCAAGGAAACCCGCCATCCACCTCTGCGACATCAACTACTGCAGTTAAAGGGCTCACCCCCACAAACAACACGGGAAACCCACCACCCACCCTCGCAACATTGCCCCACCTGCCTCAACAGGCCAGCTTTTCAAACAGCTCCAGAGCCTCAACAGCCACCCCTACTACAACCTCCAGCGTGACCCAGAAGATCAGCCCTCCAGCTAGCGTGGGAAGCTCAGCAGCCACCACTGCTGCAAATCCTGTCCTCACTCATATGAGCAGCCCTCCAACCACCCCAAGAAGTTTAGGGACTACTGTCGCATCCCCTCCCAGGGTGGAACCTCAGGCAAGCCAGCCGTCGGACCAGTTGACCAGCACCACTGCAAGCACCAGAGCCCCAACGAGCAGCCATCCCCCTGGGCTGAAGGACTATGGTGTCTCTTCTCCCACATCTGTTGCCAAGAAGCCTCACTCTTCTCCCAGTTCTCCAGTCCATGGACTGGCCTCTTCCACCAAACCTGGAACCATCAACACTTCTGTTACCCCTTTGAATGGATCCATCTCCCTCACCACTAGTAAAACATCTCTGTCTTTATCATCTGGCAGCATCAACAAGGTCTCAGAGGCAGCCGCCACGCCGACTGTTGGAGCAGGTACCAGAAGACCAGAGCCTTGATTTCTTGAGTTGGGAGGCCCTTTTGTGGTCTTTTCCTTTGGCTACTCTAAACACCTCCTGTCAGTATGGGGTGTCATCACCTTGTCGCATTTTAGGACTTTCCAGTGTTGTTGTCTCCATGACAACTGGGTGGTTAGGTCCCTGTTGTCATCGGTGGAGATCGAGTCAAAGCAGTTAGTGAAATTCAAGGCATGAATCAACTGGCAAAACATAGACATCGGCTTTCGGATGGACCAAACTGTGCCTGAAGTACCATCAACTGCAATGACTCGATCTTCAGTGACTGCAAATGGGAGCCAGCAACGATGAGTTCGGAGGTGGAGACTGATGCTGTAGAGTTGGTGAAACAGATTGACAGCACCCTGAATGCTGACTGTAGAAGATTCTTAGTATGGCTGACAGCTTAGTGAAGGCTGTCTGGGCATGCATAGAAAATAAGCTTTAGATGACTAAGGAGATTTTGTAGCTAAACTCTGAGTCTACAATCTCTAAGGAGTCTGAGAAGTTAGGTAGGATATTCATCATTGCTGCGGGGGGCTTGGTTGCAAACTTCTATCTAAGCAGCATTATGTGTCCACATGGTGTTTAGGACCTTCCTGAACACCGTTAATATGCTTTCTCTAGACCTCTGAAGCATTACAGAGCCACGTTAGTTCATAAGTGTCCTGGTGAGGCAAGTTAGTGTCCCCCTTTGGCTTTTTGTCTGGTAGCGTTTATGGGGAAGCAATCACGCTGTGGGACTGTGAGGGCTCCATGGAGCCTTCCAGATTTGGGTGGGATTGTGGGTTCAGCTCACATCTGGCTCTGAATAAAAGCTCTGATGACATTGAAGCCCTTCATTGTCTTCCTCTGGAGAAGGTTGTTCTTCACCCAATTTCCAGCTACCTGCAATACAGAAGCCACTCAGAAAAACCATCTCCTTCCCCCTCAGCCTTCCAGCTCCTCCTTGGTGTCAGCATCACTGAATGGGCTGGTTTTGCACTTAATGCAAAACCATCTTCACTAGCTTCATGCAAGTCACGTTTTGAGCATGTTAGCAGGCATTAGGATGTGAAATGGGTGTCTTCATGAAGGATATTTCTTTCCCCTCCTGCTCCACAGGACTGTTCTCCATTAAAGAATGATATATGAAATTATGTTAATTCAAATTTGACCTCAAGCATTGAGCATGAAGAGGTTTAAAAATCCTTTACATTTAATAAATAGATGGGAGAATGCAAGAGAAACTGATGGCTTTGAACTTCATTCTCTCCTGGAGCCTTCAGGATGTGTCTGGGAGAGAAATATCTCTCATCTTTTCTGTGGAAGAGGCAGGAGTCCCAAAAGCAAATAGGCTGTGAACAGGATGTGGTGTTTTAATTCTCTGTGTCATCATTTAAGGATAAATTAGGAACCCTAGCCTTTGGGTTCACCTCTCCAGAACAGTCTGATGGGTTTCAGTAGCAGAAAATCTGCAGTAATATTTTTTTCGTGTCACAGTTAATTTAAAAAAAACAAAACAAAACAAAACGCAAAACCTCTTCAGGTTTTGCCACAGTGAGCTACAAGGCAGGGCTAGAGCTGAAAACTTATTTCCAGCTGCTCATGAACGGAGCTGTGCCAGCTGTATCCTCAGTACTGTGTCTGTCTGCTTGTTTTTTTGCTGTATATCGGGGACCTAGACCAAAGAAGCCGTGACGGCAGAACTGCATCAACCAAACCTGCAAGTGCTGACCAGAGCCCTGCCCATGCACAGCCATCAGCCCCAGCCCCGTGGGACCAGACGGCGAGCAGCAGTCCTGGCCACCAGCACCCTAACGTTTCTTTCCCAAATAAGGTAATGACGCCTACGGGAAAGTGGGCATTTCGTAGTGGTGTCTATTAATATTTATCTGGCATCGCACACACATGTAAAGCCTTAGGAAAACAAAATAATTCTAGATGAAATCACTTTCTCCTGTGGCTTTACAGTGAAGAGACATGGAGGGTGGAGGTGAAGAGGATTATGGTCTGCGTGCTGAACAGGGAAGAAGTGAAATTTGGGAAGAAATAAGGAAGCATTATGGAGAGCAGAAGCTGCCTTGGGGCGGACTTGGTTATGACGAGAGAGAGATCACACTTCAGCATCAGCCACTTATGGATGATATTAGCAGAAAATGGTTTGGGAGCACAGGGGGGTCTCAAAATACAAGCCAGGATAACTAAAGTGCTGGGAAGGAGGGAAGGGGATCCTGTTTCTAGATGCTCGGCTTTTGTAGGGCAGGATTGCATCATGGCCCACTGGCGTGGATCTTCTGACTGCTGGAGCCAATTCCTGCCTTACGTCCTACTGCAAATCCTAACGCTGCTTTGGGAAGTGCATTAGCAAACATCCCGCAGACAGCTGTGTCAGTTATCTGTGACAACCCTTTCCACATATGAAGGGTTGAGTGAGGGCCTCCTGGGCCTGTCTCGTTTCCATAAAATGGATCAGAGCTTTGGTTGGGATGTCTCCTGGCTTGGGGCAGTCTGTTGTATTGGTGACCAACTGTCCTTCCAACCTATGTCAACGATTTGAGAGCTGCTTTTCTTCTGTCTTTATAGGTCATCTGTAAAGACCAGGTGCAAAATAATTGGCCCACCATATATCTGAAAGAAGCTAAAACCTGTGTAAGTACCACTCTTTTGGACTTCTATGTAGGATTAGCAGTTGTGTTGCTGTTGGAGATCAGGTTTTAACCTGTGGTACTCCAAGCACGTGAGCCTACAGAGATGAGAGTAATTTCATCAAAAGAAGATGCAAACACTTTTGGGGTGTAAAATGGTAAATGCAAACCCACACTCAGCAGTATCACCCGGTGGGGGATATGGCAGGAGGAGAAGAGGCCCTTGTGGTCTTCTTCATGTAGAAGGACCAGCTGAGCCCACCCAGGACTCAGAAAAAGAGCAATGGGAAATTTTAGAGGGTGAAACTGTCCCTCTGCAAAGGCTAACGGGAAAGCTTTTTGCCTTTGCAGAGGAGCCAGAAGTTCATCCCAAAACCCAAGCAAAAAAATATGGAGTTCCTCCACAGTTGTTGTGTACTTGGTGAGACCTTGTAACCTCACAGCTGGGGTAGGGTAGCATCCAACTGCAGAGCAACTGGGAACCACAACAGCCTGGAGTTTGGGACTCACTATGCTCCTCAGTGCTACATCAGCTCTCACAGAACCCTCAACTGAGAGCGAAAAACTCCATTTCATTTGTTTCAGACACTCTACAGGACCCAGGAGTAGTAAAATGTAGTGCCAAGTTTGGGGAAAGGCAAGCCCAACCTAAGACTGTACACCAAGACCCCTACTTCTGGTGGGTGGATACTGTCTGCTGGCTTTTCTGAGGGATACTCACCTTCAAATTGATTCTTGTGGAAACTATGAGTTTCCTGCAATAGGGAAGATGCAATATATTGATAACTTTTAAGTAGGCTGAAGTTTTAAGTTTATGACAAAGAGGAAGAGATAACACCACATGGCTGGTAAGATCTTGACAGAGTGATTGTATCTGAGCTATGGGTAGGGCTCAGGAGTCTGTTTTGGCATTATAATGCTCTGGTTTCTGGATCTCAGCACTGCCAAGGCAACGTAAGCATTGGGAAATTCAGGGACCTTCTCACAGCTTATGCTGCACAGCATCAGAAATACCTGCATGAACCTCTGCTGTCCCATGAACCTCTGCTGTCCATGAACCTCTGCTGTTCATGAACCTCTGCTGTCCCATTTGTGAAATGGAGTGACTCTTCACCATATGGTGGTGAGACACAAAGTGAAGCCACACTGTGTTCATAAAACCCCTTGAGATACATGTTGAGACGAGCAGGATCACTCCTACTGACCACACTGGCTCTTGAAATTCCCTGTGGCTTGGTGGTGGCCCTGCCTGGCAGCCCTGGAGAGGGCTTGGACCTCCTGACGGCACCCACCATGCTCCTGGAGGAGGGGAAGTGCCTGTCTGCTGCCATCTCATGGTTATCACCTTCCTACTTCGGCTGTACTGGGTGTAAATGCTCCTTGCCTGCACACCTGCAGAAATGATGATGTTCGTAGCCATGCTGCCCTTTAACACTGAGGATGACTCCAAGGAGGGACCTTATAACCACGATGCCTGTGGTCCAGACTCCACAGTAGGACAGCCTCTCCTAAGAGCATCCCCTGCCCTGCTTTGTGCAATGTCAGAACCTGCAGCCGTGCCCCACTGGGAAAGCTTCTCATCAAATTTTATATTGAATATATAAAAATATTTCATCAGATTGACAAAATCTTACTTTGGAGCCTAAAGCATCCAGGTGACTTATGACTGTGCTGGTGTTCAATGCTTCCCTTCTCCTTCTGGGCCCAGTCATGCTCTTCATGGAGCCGCTGTCCTCCCCGTAGCTTTGCTGGAGCTGTGCCGGGAGGCTTTTTGGAAACAGGGATGGTAAAGCTGGGAAGTGCCGGCGCGCAGTGATACGACGGCGAGCTGAGGGGTGGGCAGACATCACAGCTTAGCATCATCCATCACTCCTCTCTGCCCACTCTGCTGGGCAATGGTGTGCTGGAGCTGGCGAGCCAGCAAGTCTGCCGCCCTGTTTCCCTTAGATTCCTCTGGGCATAATAACGAGCCGAAGCATTGTTAGTACAAAATGCCAATTATGCCTTGAAACAGCTGCAGAAAGACTGCAAGGGTGCATCCTCCCATAGCATCACTCTCCTGGGCTGCCAAAACACCTCCCACCCGCTTGCCGTTAACTTTCCACTCGGCATATTCCTGAAAATTGCAACAAATTTTATGCCTCCCAAGCTGAGCAGATAACAGAGAAATGGCACTATCTGGTTTCCCTGCTTTGTAGGCCCAGTAAACAAGTCTCTAGCCAAATCTTGACAGCAAAGTGAAAAAATCCTTTGCATTTCACAACCCGTGGGAAAACAGGAAAGTGCGTGCTATAAGGAGAAGTGTTCCAGAAATGGCTCCAATCCTGGTCCGCCAGAATGAGCCAGAGTCGGGACGGCATTGTACTAAAAGCTCAGCTCCAGAGAGAAGCCCGGGGAAGCATCAAGGGCAACACGGTGGCCTGGTGGTGGGGGACATGACCAGATCACACGTGGCAGAGGACAGAGCAATGCAGACCACTTCCCCCATGCATAGCTGGGCTCACGGGGCAGCACCAGCAATGCAGGGACCCCAGCAAAATGGTTGAGACTGAACCCAGGAATTGCGGGTGCTGCACCCTGTTGCACCTCAGTTTCTCCAGCTGCAGTAACTTTAAAAATAAAAAAACGCACCTCAGTCTGTCAATCTTAAAAAAAAAGAGCCAAATATATGGCTGGTACCACTTTGTGGACCAAAAGTACTTTATGGACTAGTTGGTTTCCACCATCCTTCCTCTTTAGGCGATGCTTTTAGCCAGCGCTGAAGTTTGGTCCATGTTCTCCCATGCTCCCTTTTGCCCCTTCTCCTTCCTTTGATTACAGCAGGATCTTAATGAGTTTCCTAATGAGGCTAATTAGCTAAAGGTCCAGCTCACAAATGTATCTTCAGCTGGGTTTTTGTTGGCTGCTTGGGGTGCTCCAGCCTTGGGATGGATGGATGCTCTGTTCCTCATCCCAACCTCAAAACGCATTAGGTGAAGCGAGAGGTGACCTTGTCAGAGGTGGCTAGTGTCCCCTGAGCTCTGGTGGCCACTGTGGCCACTTCCCAGGGGTCCAGTGTGGCTCCTCCATCATGTCCCCAGCCAGGGCACAGATGGGCCCAGCAAGGCAAGTTGGAGGATGCTGGGGAGGACCAGAGCCTGCTCGAGCTGGAGAACGCAAAAGCAACAGCGGGACCACCTAGACCCACACCCAGGTGCCCGAGGGAATTTGCTGTGTGTCACCCGCAGGGCTGGGGGCAGCAGGACGGTCCCCGGAGCAGCTGGAGGAACCCTCGTGCCAAGCAGGGTCGTGGTCCCCCTCGCCCCATCCAGCTGGTGGGGGTGGTTTGTTGACTCAAGAGCTGTTACCTCATTCGGGGATGTTAGTTTTAGGTCCCCGCCAGTGTGGGAACCGGATTCGAGCTGTTCGGCAGCGCCTGTCAACTCCAGCCAAGGAATGTCGTGGCGGCCCCGGCAGCGGGGGGGAAGAAGCTGCTGGGGCTGCAGCATCGCCACCGGGGCATCCCTGCCAGCGGCAGTGGCCCTTACCGTGCCCCTCTCCAACCCTGGAAAGGGTAAATCCTTCCAGTTCAGGCTCCAAAGGCGTTCAGGCACTGCTCACCATCCAGCAGCAAAGCAGTTCAGTGCTCAGCTGGGCTTCAGCCTCGCATCTGATTTCTGATTTCCCTTCCCCCCCAAAAAAAAAAAAAAAAAGCATTTTAAAGGTCTTTTTTTTTTCCCCCCATGGGGTGGTAGGAGGAGAATTGGGTTATTAAGGGCTGGGGGAAGGCAGAGCTGTTGTAAAACTTGGGGAAGGAGCATGAAGGGAGGCAGCAGAGAGGCTTTTCATGCCTCTGCCAAGCAGAAAACACTGCACAGGCAGGGACTGATGAACTGCAGGACATTTAAAGCTTAGGAGCACAACCCAGCGTCCAAAGATGATAAAAACACCGCCTGAACCAAGCCGTAACCCTCTCCTCCCTGTCCTGCTGGAGACAAGCTTTTTGGGGGTGCTGCCTTGCCGAGGTCTCGTCTTGCTGCCTGTGGGCTGTGCTGGCACAGGGCTGGGGCAGGTTTCCCATCCAGCTCTTTTCCCAGGGATGCAGCTGGGATAGTGCGGACTTAACAGAAGGGCCCGGGAGAAGTTTCTCCCCATGCAAAGCGAAAGGACAGGCGAGGGCCAGCGGCGGTTCCCAGGGACAGCCAGGGCCTCACGGTGCTGAGCTCATCCTCGCGCTGTGCCCAGGACCAGTCTTCCGCCCCGGAAAGCGCATCCTGTCTCCACCGCCACTTCCCAAATATTTAGATAAGATGGGGTGAGATTAGGTGCCTTCCTCAGCCAGGCAGCTCCCATCCTTGCGGTGGAGCAAACGGGATGCTGTCGGTGCAAGCGGGACCCGGCCCGGACGGCGTTGCAGAGCAGGGGGGGCAGGTTTGGGGTGCTGGAGCAGGCAGGAGCAGAGTCTTTCCCAGCCAGGGCTCCTCCTGCCTAGCACCTCGTTTCAACGCGCACGGAGGACTTTTGCACGCAGGAGCTGCGCAGACAAGACCGTGCGCACGTAGCACCTGTGCACAAAGGACTTGTGCATGCAGCACCTGTCTGTGCACAACTTGTGCACGCAGTGCTTGTGCATGCACGAGCTGTGCACGTAGGAGCTGTATATACAGCATCTTCACATATCGGACCTTTGCAGGCAGGAGGACAATCGTCTCTACCTTAGTGAGCTCCCAGCTGCTACGAAGCATCGAGCAGACGCAAAAAGCCTCAGGAGCATCTCAGGGGGGATTTGGGCTCCATCCCTCCAGCGCTGTCCGGACTAACTCCTCCGGGGATGCTCCAGTTTATCTGAAAGCAAAACATTTTCTCTTGCTTCCGCCGAGCCACAGAGCTGTGGGGAAGCCCTAGGGAGGATGAAGACCTGTGTTGGTGGGGACAGAGGGTAGAAATGCAGGTGGTGGGAGGCCCACGGATGCCTGTGGGGACACAGGGGGGGGCTGCACAGTCCTGTCCTCCCGTCGCGGCCCCTTGGCCTCCCCGCCCTGTTTCCCTCAGGGACCTGCTATTCCTGTAACACCAAAAGCTGCGGCGCTCAGATAAGACCAGAGCAGGGCCCCGGTGAGGAACGGCAGCCAAGAGCTCAGCTTCTCGTAAAGAAACTACTTTTAAACTTTTCCTGTTCCCTGGGAGGGCTGGCGGCAGCCGGGCGGTGCAAAGGGATGGGGGAGGATGGGGATGGGCACAGCATCCCTGGAGATGGGGTGGGATGCTCCTCAGCGGTCCCTGGGAGAGGGGACAGTACTGAGCGCTTGCTGTCACCGCAGGCCGAGTGGAAGACCACCAGCGACAACATCTCCTTCTTCGAGAGCTTCTGCTCAACGGGCCAGCACGCTTTCAACGCCAGCAGGGAAACGTGCACAGTGACACTGGCCTCCCATGAGCCCCGCTCCCAGCGCTGGGCCGTGTGGGCGGTTGTGCACCGTGAGTATGATCCCACCGTCCTGCCCCAAGGGGGACGGGATGGGATTGGCATCAGGGACCCTGGTGAGGGGATGCAGCCTGAGGCTTGGCAGAGCCCTTGGGGTCTGTTAGACCTTGAGCAAGGGGCTCCGTTCCTTGGGCTGCCCCATCTCAGAGGCTTAGGAGAGGCACAACAACCCCAGAAACGAGCTTTGCTCCCCAGTTAATGCACCAGATCCCTCTCCCATCCCTGATAAGTCAAGACAGGGACCAGTCTCCATGAGGAAGAATTCCTCCCACATGGTTAAAACCCAGTGCCCAGCTCAAATCCTTCCCCAAGGGACCTCGGAAGGGAGGTTTTTGTCCACGTCGGAGTCCACCTTTGGGCACCGACGAACCAGGAGGATGGAGGCATCACGCTGCCTTGGTGCCAGGGGGAGGAAGGGCTGAGCCCCATCCTCCTCCTCTTTGTCATCAGGGCAGGGGCTGGGTGTGGGGGGGGTCCAGCCTCCAGCACCCGACCACAGGCAGGGCAGCCCAGCCCTGGGACTGATCCTGCGCCGCTCCGGCACGGCCTCAAGCAGCCGGGTACAGCCCCTCACTGGTCCCACTCACGAATTGCCCACCAAAGTGGAGGCCCCCACCAGGGTATGCACAGCCCAGGGCTGGGGGATGGGGATGTGGGGGACGGCGGTCTCTGGGGCTGTCCCCCTGCCAGGAGAAGAGGTCTCAGCTCCTTGTCTGGCTGTGGAGGCATTTGCAAAGGTTGGCTCCATGCCCACACATCTCCACCCACCTCCTCCAGAAAGGGGGTCACCCCCGTTGACCGGGAGGTGGTGGCACAACCTGCACACACCACCCCTCTGGGGCTGTCCCCCTGCCAGGAGAAGAGGTCTCAGCTCCTTGTCTGGCTGTGGAGGCATTTGCAAAGGTTGGCTCCATGCCCACACATCTCCACCCACCTCCTCCAGAAAGGGGGTCACCCCCGTTGACCGGGAGGTGGTGGCACAACCTGCACACACCACCCCACCCCCCCCGCACTCATTGCAGCCTCTTTTTTTCCCCCAGTCCCTTTAGACCCTGAAAAAGTCCTCGAGGAGCTGAAGGAGAAGAAGGACAAGTTAGAGAAGGTAAGCAGGCTTGGATGTCCCCCAAGGTGGGTGACACAGGAAGCCCTCTTTGGGGCCTGACCCATCCTTTCTGTCGCAGCTTGGCATCACCAACATCACCTATGACAAAATGGAGAGGGAGATGGTAATCAACGATGAGTTCAGCACACCCCTGATCATCACCATCGTCACTCTGGCTGGCTCCCTGCTGCTGATCGCAGCCATCTACGGCTGTTGCCACCAGCGCTTCTCCCAAAAGAAGGACCAGGTAAGGTAGGAGCCGGGTGGGACAGGTACCCTGGGACCTTTTTGTCCCAGAGGCATCTTCAGGAGATGAAAAGCATCATCGTTGTCATCTCTTCTGGTGGAGACATCCTGGCTCGCCCAGCAGGCCGCCACCCTTGCGTATTGCTCAAGGGGTGTCCAAGTGCTGTGGATGCTCTGGAGGGGCAGGAGCTGCCCTTTGGGGGTGTCGGGGTGGGGGGTAGCCAGGACGAAAAACAGGGAAATGAGGGGCCGGTGTCGGTGGGGTATGGCAAGGAGCAGCATCCATCCCTGCTGCCACCCATCTGAGGATGAGCAGCATCCTCAGATCATAACTTTGACAAGAAAGGCTTTTTCAACCCAACAGCCCCTCTCCAAACCCATCCATCCTTCCCCGCCCCAAAAATTCTCAAGAATTCTCAAGCCCCAGGGGCTGCGGGGAGCCGGCGGCTGTTTGCAGGGTGGGAGGATGGCAGGAGGACATCGATGCTGTACGCCACACGGCTCAGCCTTTAGGGGAGCTGGGCCAGGGCCAAATTTCAGAGCAGCAACAGCAAGATTTAAGGAAGAACAGACACGGAAAAAAAAATAGTATCATTTTTATCTCAGGAAGCAATTCTGGGTGATTTTCGTGTCACATACACCTACAAGGACTGGCCGTTCCCACGCCCTGCAGCACCGGCGGGGGGAGGCCTGGCACCTACCCCCGGGTTGGGTCCTGCCACGTACCCGCGGTTTGCAGCAGCCCCTGCTGCTCTTGCTGAGGATTTAGTTCTGGCAGAGAGACAGAAAGAGGGTGAAAAAAAAAAAAAATAATAAAATGAGGCCAAATGATGCAATTAGTGTAAACCACCCTCCCGATGCAGAAGCAAACTCCTGCATTTTACTTCAAGTCGTTTCCCCCCCAAAACCAGCTCATCCTTCCCAGGGGGTCCCAACCTCTGCCCCATGTGCCAGGAGCTGTGTGAAGGCAAGGGATAAGGCAACCTTTGCTTTAAGTGTTTTGCAATCTAATGGAGATGAACACAGGAGGCAGGGAAGAGCAAACCAATGCCAGCATCAGGCTTGTTTTTGCAAGGTTTCATTTTTTTGGGAGGATGCAAGACCTCAATAGATATTTGACCCCCACCGTGGTCCCCATGTAGTTTAGGGGGTTTCACAGCCGGGCCATCCCTCAGCTGAAATCTCCCTGGTCAGGGTGTAAAACATCCATCCCAGCAGGGACAGGAAGCAGTGGAATGCTCTTGCCCTGTACTGTTTAGAAAACAAGTAGAAATAGGGTAGTTTTAGCGATGGGAATGTGTGTCCCTCAAGTAACATGGTGCAGAGGAACCGGTACCAGCCCTGGCTGGATGCTCCAGAGGTAAATACCCACCAGCCACAGGGTAAGGTAGCAAAACCAAAGCAAGGGATGCCACTTCCTCAGTTTGATTCTTGCTCAGAGCACAGGAAAAGATCTTTTTGCAAGCAGTTGATAAGATCAAACACTTTTCTCCTTTCTGGATTTGTTTTTGGGTGGTTTCTTTTGTTTTCCTCCTGCTTCTTTTCCAAAAATGACTTGAAAGTTTTTTTTATTTTTATTTTTCTCCAACCCTCCCCACCCCATCCCCTTTTAAACCCTGCTGTTGTTTTACCTTGGAAATAACCAGCACATCCACCCTGATCTCCCCGGGTTTGATGATGGACATGTGGCCCTGATCTTTAATGTGAGTTCCAACACAGGGATTGGAGGGGTGGGCACTGCATCCGTAACACCCCCAGCTCTCACACCTGGTGCTTGGTAGGATTCAGTAGCTTTTAACAGGACTAAAGCCTACTAAAGCCCAGCTTTAAAGACCCCTTCCCCTTGCTGCACGGCGGAGGGGGGTGCCTTGCCACGACCGGAGAAAGCGCTGCCCAAGCATCCATCCATTCACCTGGGGGTTGTACCAGCAACCCCGGAGGGTGGAACAGCCCCTGCGAGAGCCCAGGTGCCTCTTCTGCTTTCGAGCATCCCGCCATCCCTGCCCGCATCCCCCCCCCACAACGTGCGAGCCAGGGGACCCCCAGCAGCGCCTTTGCAGCCCCCCTGCTAGCACCAAGCCCTGCAGTTTCACTTCTCCGTCCCTTTCCTTCTCCATGAATTCCCTCCCACGCCTGTCTCCCGACATTTATTAGGAGCACTGTAATAAACCAAGCTGTAAATCCAGGCAGATTTTAACAGAGGTGCCTATCGAGAGCCCTGCACTCCCCAAAAAAGGGCTGACCAAGGACTGCAGCTCCCCAGTGAATCCCTCCGAGGTGGGATGGGGATGAAGGAGTTGCTGTGGTGAATGCAAAATTGGGATGGGGTTCTGCCAGGGGCTGAAGGGCTGGGTCGGAGCCTGGAGCACAGCATACCAAAGGCCCAGGGTGATGCAGTGCCTGATTTGTCCATGAATCGGCCAAAACCACGCATGGCCAAAGGGAAAGGGGCAGGAGGGGCTGTTCTTTCCCTGCCTGGTTTCCACCATGAGCTCCAGAATAGGGGTCTGAGATGATGCTTGTGGAGGGGCAAATGGGCCGGCAGCACCTGCAAGGTGGGAGCTGCCCTGGGTGGAAGGGTAAAATAACAATAAATCAGCTAAAAAGGGACAGGGGTGCAGAAAGGGGAGGGGAAGAATGGAGCTGAGTTGGGGACGCAGGAGTTGGGATGCAGGGTCGGGGTATGGCAGTGATGCTCAGTTGGGATCAAGCCATGGCCTCGTGGCCAGGCTGAAACTGGCAGCTGCTCCTGGAGGTTTGCTGCGTGTCTCTGGCTGCTCTTTCCTCCCTGCCACAATTAGCAGAGTTTCTCTCTTGCCAGCTCCGTGCTATCCCTGCGCTGCGCTGGTGCTGACTGCAGCCCCCAACCTCAACCAGCCCAGACTCTGAAAGTCTCTATATGTAGTTATATACATCTATACGGGGCAGCACCCACGGCTGTCTGGGAGGTGACATGCACAGCATGGCCAAGCTATTTTTCACTGGGGTTTCTGGGTTTTCTTTCCTCGCAGCAGCGCCTGACTGAGGAGCTGCAGACAATGGAGAACGGCTACCATGATAACCCCACGCTGGAAGTGATGGAGACCTCCTCTGAAATGCAGGAGAAGAAGGTGAACCTCAATGGCGAGCTGGGGGACAGCTGGATTGTTCCTCTTGACACCCTCATGAAGGAGGACCTGGAGGAAGAGGAGGACACGCATTTATAGGATACAGAATTCAAAGCAGCAAAAACCGACTACCACCCCCTAAAAAAACCTCCCATAATCCCTACACACACACAACTCTAAAACAAGGAAGAACTCCCAACAAACCCCAGAAAATCCCTTAATGAACTAATCACAGCCCCTCGTGCCACCATGTGGGGTGCAGGATGGAAAAAGAAGGGACACGAGAGGACAGCTCCGGGGCGCGTTGTCCACACAAGCCACCATGGTGGCCGGATTCGGATGAGCACCCTCCATCACTCACGGGTGCTCAGCAGGACCTACAACACCAGACCTGACCAGCCATGAGCGAGCAGGGTGGGTTTGCTCCTGAAGAGCTGCTGGTGTCTCCAAGCTTGTCACCTCCTATCCCATGTCCGACCAGGCCAACCGCAGCCTCCAGCTATCAAGCAACTCTAAAAATAAAAGGAAATAAATGTAAATAGGATGGGAGAGGGAGCACAACTCCCATCAGCAAACCAGCACCTGGCAGTTACAGCTAGAAAAAGCCTCTGGCCCATGTGATTTAGCCGTCATTCTGCCCTCCTCAACGTGACATGCCCAGGTATCAAGCAGAAAAAGCTGGAACAGCCTGTTCTTTTTATTCCAGTTTCCATCCTCTCCCCATAAACTGCTGGCTAAAACGCACAAGAGCCCCACGTTGTGCCATAGGCAAACGAACACATCCAGACCCAGCTGGACGGGGGGATGCAGCAGTGCCAAGTGATGCTCAGTCCTGCACCACCACCAGCTGTGCCGCAAAGGGCTGCAGGACAGATCCTGCACCCACTTGGAGACCTGGAAAGGTGCAACAGCTTCTTGTATTGATGCAAAAAGGGGAGGGAGAGGAGGAGGAGTCATTCCTTGAGTTCATCCCTCCTAGGAAGGGTTTAACGAGACCAAGGCCAGGCACAAGGCTGGGGGTATCATGGTACAGGAGCACAGACCAGCTCTGCTGCTGCATTTCCCTAATGAAGTGTTGATTGCCTTCCAGTAGTTATGCAGCAGCATCTCGTGGCCCATGTCCATCCTCCCCCAAGACCACGGGTTACGCGCACCATGATGGTTTGTGATTTTTGCGGTCGTGCCTTCCTGCGTGAGCAGCAGCAGAGAAAAGAGCAAGAGAAGCACGAGCCAGGTACCTTGGTGGTATTCAGGGTTTTCCATCGGTACAGCCCTTGGTGTTTCCTCTCCACAAGGTTTATAAGCTCAGCCCACATCCTCAAGCTTTTCTCCAAAAGCAGGTAAAATAGCAGAGACCTGCAAAGAAACTTCCAGCTCAGCAAAGCTGGGACTGAGTCTCTTGTCCAGGTCTCCCTTTGCCATCAATGTTAGAGGTGGGAAAAAAAAAAAAAATATGCAGGAGCAGAAAGTAGCTGGACTGAGGCCATTTTTTATTTTCCACTCCCCATCACAGCTCCTAAATGGCTGTACAAGGATGGGGAGAGTTTCACACCTTCGCTCTGGCTTTGGTGAAGCAGCTGAGCCCCGTCAGAGCCAGGGATCAGAGCGGGGCTCCATCCTGCAGCACACAGGGCAGAGGACGAGAGGGTCACTTGGGCGAGTGCATCTCCTGCCACGTGAGGATGGTGATAGTCCCAAGCCCTTTGCAAGCCAGAGGAGCTGCAGATGAAGAATGATGCCTGAGCACAGCCCTTCCTCTCTCCTGCTTGCCATAAATCGTGCATTCACCAGTGCACAACAGGGTGATTTCCTTCGGGCTCCTCCACCAAGTCAGCATGATGGGGATCTGCTCCCATGGCTGCCCTGGATGAGGGGAAAAGCGGAGCCGAACAATGGCAGGCTTAGAGAAAGCCAGGATGAGCCAGTCCTCAGGAGTACTCACCAAGGAGACGGTCGGGGCGGTTTGCTCGGCCCCAGGACAGAAGCTGGCAGAAGATACATCTTCTCAAAGGGACTGGCTCTTCTCTTTTCTCTCCTGTACCGAAAGGCCGAGTTTGAAGTGTTCAAACCTATATATTTTTGTATGTAAATATTCCTGCTATTCATTAGCAATGTATTCAGCACACTTCACTTACCTGTGCACTGCACTACGGGAAAGTAATTTTGGAGGGGGGTGGGGTGGGGTGTTAAAATTAAAAAAAAAAAGAAAAAATTAAAAAAAAAGCTAAAAGGCCAGTCTGGTAGGGGATCAAAATTCGACATGAAGCAGGAAAACGCCTCCCACCCGGATAACCCTGCACCACGGCTTTGTCCCCGCTCCAGCAGCATCAAGTTCAGCTCTTTAACATTGCAGCAAGGCTCAAAGAACCAGTCTGGGCATTCGCAATTGCTTTCGTGAGCGTGTTTGCCTCCCAGTCGCCCCGAGACACGAGCAAGCGGGTCAGCAATCTCACGTTTCTGTCCTTTGCAGAAAATAAACGCATCGAAAACACGAGGCAGCAGCGAGGCTTTGGCCGCCGGGGCTGGCGTTGCCGTAAGGATGCCCCTGGCAGAGCATCCCCAGGCAGTCGGGTTTTGGCATGTGCCTGAGATCCCCCTTCCCAGCGAAGAGATGCCAAAGTGCTTTAATGAATCAGGTCCAAAGACTTCCCAAGAGAACCCTACAAAGGCTTGAGATCAAGCAACCTTAAATCTTTCTGAGCAGAGACCAGTGAAGATATTAACTACTCAGCAAGTGCTTATAGTGATTTATATTTGAATAGGAATTGTACATTTATTTATTTTTCCAGACACCATATTTTTAAACCACTAATATTTTATAGTAGATTTTCCTTCCCCTATTTAAAGAACTATTTCCACGGAAAAAAACAGTATGTTTTTTATGTTGAAAACATTCTTTTTGCAAAAAAAAAAAAGTTCAGGTAGGAAATGCAGTGATGAGTATCTTTGGCCTTAATCCTTCCCTTTGTAGACTGTAGCCATAATTGTTAGACCAAAAATAAATTAAAAAAATAAATCTACCCAGGCATTTCCTCCCTCCCCACCCCTCCCTTCCCCACACTCCTCTCCCCCAAAACAGCTTTAACATCCAACACATTGTACAAAGAGATTATTGCTCTTACCTTCAGTGAGAGTTTTCCGAGCAGCTCAGATGTCCTTGCAAGAGACTTTTCTATTTTTGGATTCACAAGGAATGTGTAAATATTTTAGGACCATTTATCTCCCGCTCACAGTGCCATGACCCAGCTGATGAGGTTGATACCGTGACTGTTGCCTACAGAAGACATACAGGAGAAGACGTAATCCATAAGGGACTGCAGAAGGAGAACCTATTTCCCAAGGTGGCTATCCGTTGAACCTTGCACATATACTAGAGCTCTTATGTACTGTATAGCAGCATCTCTCACGGGGACAGGAGTCTGATTTACACTGGAATTTACTGAGGAACTGGATTGTAGAGATTATTCTTGCATTTTCCTACAGATATATTTTGAAAGCATCATGTATTTCTGTCAATAAACATTCTTATGTAAAAGACTGGTTTCTTGGCTGAGTGAACAGGGGTGGGGGGGAGCAGGGCTCATGCTCCAGAGCCACAGCTATCAGTTATGTCGATGTTACAACTGGCTATGGGTAGAGCTCGTCTGGAAACCCAGCACGGGCTCTGCATGGCCCTGCTAGCAAGAACACGTAAAACTACTGGAAAAGCGGGAGTAAAACCACCCCAGACCATCAGAGGTAGCCAGCCATGTATTTTTCCCATGCAGATGGAAGTATGACAGCAGTGAAAAACTTCTCTTAATTAAAAAAAAAAAGCAGAAACTCCAGAGGGGTGGGATGCTCAGTTGATGTGGGATGCTCAGTTGATGTGGACGAGGGCAATCCCACTACAGGCAGAGTACCTGTCTGAACTATTAGTGGCTTTGGGGTTATGTTGGCAGGAAGGCAGAGGGAGTTTACCCTTTTTTCTGTATTTCATCCTCGCTCCTATTCCGCAAGCCCTCCTCACGCCTTGGTCAGGCTGTGGAGGAGGGAATCAAACCTCACGGCCCTAAGCCAGAGCAGCCTAACGAAGGAGGGCCGTCATGCAAGGGCAATGGCAGGGTCAGCACCAGCATCTCCATTTGTGTTCAAGTGCCCAAAATAAAGCATTTTGTTCCAGGTTAAGTTTCCAGTTAAGCAAGGGAAATTAAAAAAAGAAATTAAAAAAAAGAGTATTTGAATCAAACTAAATTTAAGTCAGTGGTTTGCATCAGGCCAGGTTTTAACTGTGTTCCTTCCCAACAAGTTTTTGCAACTGCTAAGCACACGTTGGATTTATGGGATACCAACCCAGCCCATCAGTGATTTCAGGAAACAGGAAATTTTCTCTGCTGTCCTCAGGGACACGACAGGCTCCTCCAGCAGGAACAGCGCTTGCCGCCCAGACGTAAAACACCACCGGTTTCACAATTTCTGCACCACTACAAGACTTTCACAGACATTTTTTCATTCTCAGAAACAAGCAATGTTAGAACAAACAGACCTTAAATAAACCAGAACTTAAACAAACACCCTTGCTAGCATATACATTTTTATTAAGAAAAAAATGAACAAAATACATTCTCTCCTTATGTACATTACATACAACATAACTACATTTGTAGATATTCCTCATATCACTCATTCATTTCTGTACAGCATGGGGCTTACATACCAACCCAGAAATTATCAAAGGTGATTTACGCCAAGGAAGAAAATTAACACTCCAGGCTGAACAAAGATCATCTGTTTAGCCGCAAAGAAAAGGGCAGGATGGGGAATCACCGGAGTCCAGGAACGATGCCTGTAACCACCAAGGGCTCAGCACAGGACTAGTCAATGCTTGACTTGCGTATTAAAACACGTGCATACTTGACAGCGTTCATCACCCTACAGACGCTCCTTTCCAGCCCAGGGCTGTCTGCACCTCCCGGTTCAGCTCTCCTCTGGTCAGGTATCCGAGACAACGACTGCAGGACAAGACACCAAAGGGAATTCAGACGGACACTGGAGTCTGTGGGATTGCTGTAGAGATGGAAATGCTTCAAGTTGGATGTCAACACAGAAGAAAGGGCCAA